ATGTCGACGGCGCGCATCGGCCCGCTGCTTGTAAGACGCCGTCGTCTCCTCGAGCCAAGCACGGGCTGCCACGTGACCCGCCTGAAGGTCGGCAATCACCTCAGCCGCTCGCTTGTCCTCCGAAGCCCGAGATAGTAAGGATAACAAATCCGAAGGTCCGCGAGGCAGCAAGCCATAAACAATGTGAAAAGGGGAGAACCCGATGGCGCGACAAATAGCTGAGTTGTGGGCGAACTCGGCCTGGCTGAGGCGTTGGTCCCAACTCCGGAGGTTGTCGCCAACCAAACATCTAAGCAAGTTTCCCAACGAGCGATTCACCACTTCCGTCTGCCCGTCAGTCTGTGGATGATAAGCGCTGCTAAAGTCCAGACGGGTATTAGCCATACGCCACAAGCTGCGCCAGAAGTGGCTTACAAACCGAGTGTCACGATCCGAGACGATGGAAGAAGGAAGGCCATGCAGACGATAAATTTCCCGAAAAAATAACTGAGCGACGTGGACCGCATCTGTTGTTCGTTTGCATGGAATAAAGTGCACCATCTTCGAGAATCGATCAACCACGACAAAAATCGAGTCAAACCCTCGCTGAGTACGAGGCAAACTCAACACAAAATCCATGCTAATCGCAAGCCAAGGCTGGGACGGAATCGGAAGAGGGCGATAAAGACCGGCATTAGACGCAACCCCTTCGATACCTGGCAAACCCGACAACGACTCACAAATCGCGTGACATCACGTCGTAGAGTCGGCCAAAAGTACGACCGGCTCACTAGCGCGACCGAGCGGTCCCGTCCGACGTGGCCCACCCCATGCAGATCAGCAATAAGCTTACGACGGAGGCTACAATCCGGAACACAAAGGCGAATCCCACGAAATAAGAACCCATCGCTCATCGTGTAGTCCTCAAACGGGCCAGCCTCCAAGTGACGCATAATCGGCCCAAAAAAGGAATCGGCCCCATAAACCTCACGAAGCATGTCGAAGCCAACAACAGACACGCGTAACTCGGTCAATAATAGCACACGGCGGCTAAGAGCATCGGCCACCTTGTTCGTCGACCCTGAACGATGCTTGAGTACGAACGTGAATTGCTGCAGAAAGGCTGTCCACGAAGCATGTCGGGCAGAAATGTTGTCCTGGGTTGCCAAGTGTCGCAAAGCATCATGGTCAATGTAAAGAACAAACTCCCGGTGAAAGAGATAATGTCGCCAGTGCCGAACTGCCCGAACAACCACATAGAACTCAACATCATAGGCACTGTAACGAGAACAAGGGCCGGAAAGTTTCTCACTAAAGAAGGACACAGGCCGGGCCTCCTGACTAAGGACAACACCAATACCAACTTTGGAGGCATCACATGACAACTCAAAAGGACGAGTAAAATCCGGTAAAACCAGAACCGG